GTAGTCCCTCTAATTTCAGACTTTCATGTTTGTAAAATACAGGCTTTCGATGTAATTTGCAAAGATCCAGTTTTGATCTGAAATCAAAATTTTATATTTTTATGTAGATAAAATCGATTTGAACTTATGCAGTTCCAAAATTGATTGGAACCACATGATATCACAAAGATTCAGATCAGATCAAAAATATTTTAAGATCAGGGACAATTTTTACTTTAACCAGAATAAGATCATATCAGACTAAATATGAAAGATTCAGATCAGATGAGAAAGATTCAGATCATATCAGACCTTAATACATTCAGATCAGGACAATTCTAAGCCCCCTCACACCGCACCCACCCACAAAGTTTTAGGTTCAAATGAGAAAAAGTGACATATGTGACAGACTGACACAAAACAATTTGGGTCATTTTTTGTAGTCCCTCTAATTTCAGACTTTCATGTTTGTAAAATACAGGCTTTCGATGTAATTTGCAGAAGATCCACTTTTGATCTGAAATCAAAATTTTATATTTTTATGTAGATAAAATTGATTTGAACTTATGTGGTCCCACGTCACACTCTATACACCGGAATGCTAATCAATTTCACGTTCAAAGGCTTCCCTAAGACATTATAGCTTAGTTTGAAATAATTGGTGTTTATCTCAGACTCAAGTTTTACAAGAGAAAATCATCTCTGGCCAATTTATAAATTCATATATATCTTAATATACCATTCTAGCTCTTGTAAATAAGAAGCACATGTCTGTGTATAGGCTAAGATTACATACAATGATACAAATACAAATGAATTGAAACTACATAACATGCAAAATTGCAAACATAAAAATAAGCATATTTAAACTTGCACACTATGTCACCCAACCTCCAAAGGTTGTTTCCAAAATTATCTCAAATTAGTTTTATAATTACCATGCAATGACAACGGTAATTACCTTGATAAGATCTCCATGATATTTTTATTTAGAAAAAAAAACTTCTTGGCCTTCTCAGTCCACCATGGTCTCGAATGTCATCAAAAATATTAAGGAATAATATTTAGTAGATTTGGGATAAACAGAAGATAATTAAAATGATTAAATAATACTTTCTTGGAAATTTTCAAAATGCTTCTGCCCAGGAGGTTTTCGTTGCTGTTAGGTGGCGGTAGACTGGTGGTTTGGCACGAGGTGCTTATTATTTGCTGGCCATGTTGTGCCTTTCCAAGACCGGATACAGTTAGAGGTCACAACAGCACAGGTTTACTCTCGTACACAAACCACTTCTTTGTCGTCCCCCCTTTTTCAAGCAGTTGTGTTGATTTGTCCCAGTTTCGTCCTGCAACCTTGGTTTCGTCAAATGAAGTTTCTTTGATCTAGTGTCATTGGTGTTGGTCCGTAGGGTACCGGCATATTTGGGACTTTTGGGTGAAGAGTTTTGGTTCATATGAAGAATTCGACTACAGATTTAGCTGTGTCCTTCAGTTTTGTAGCAAAACGGTATCATATATGAACATAGACTGCTAACTCAAACAGGGACCCATTTATGAGGCAACTGACAGGCCTAATACTTTGATCCCGCGTATACTGTTAGTTGTTATATATTCCTTCAGTATTTACATAAGACCACACACTTTAAGTGATATAGATAAGACATCGTCAGATTCTCATATGTAGGATGATAATCAAAACACCAGAAAGTGATAACCAGATGCTCAGATGGAGAATGGATTACTGAAGTTTTTCAAAAGAAAAATTAACAGGAATATAGAAGCTTACCACCGTCTACTGGTGGCACAGGAAAGTCTCTAAGCACCTGCTCCAAATGTTCTGAACTCTTACGACTCACAACACGAGCCACAAGACCCTCCAAGATTTCTCCTTGAACCTTTATATGATCTTTAGATCCTATACATCCAGGTAAGAAGGGGGTAAGAGATAAATTATTTAAATAATATTAGAAATCATTCGAGCATGATAATACTACATCCGTCCCAGAGTATTTGTCCAGTTTTGACTTTTTTAAGTCAACCATTTTCAACCTTTGACCTATAATTAAATAAAATATATATTGTATATTAATTAGATAAAATAATATTTTAAAAATATTTTATATAATAAACATAATAAAACTATTTTTGTATCAATACCTAATACCATTTTTATTTATTTTGGGGTCAAAGTTTCCCAATTTTGATCAAAAAAAGTCAAAAATGGACAAATACTCCAGGACGGAGTAGAAAGAAAGAATAATTACAGGCTAACTCCTAATATATGGTTTTTTTTAATATGTATTTGAGCATGGTATACTTAGATTTCAAGTCTTTTGAATGTGGTTTGCTACAAGCCGAAGTGACAGTACATTTTAGTCAGCTCAAGAACATATGCTGAAGTGCTATTTATATACACAATATGAGATATGGTGTAGACCAAAGTAGAGCTAAGGCTACCCGCTACCCTAAGCTTCTAAGCACTCTGCCGCTAGCTGGCACTTGGCAGCACATAAATATTTTCATGCCTAATTTGTTACATTAATAATCAACCATCTTGCTTTCTTCTTCCACTCCCAGCTCTGACTTTTAAGGAAAGGATACCCTGAAGCTGAGCTGACCGAAGAAAGCCTTAAGGATATCATAGCCCTTTCCTTTGTAAGCATTAGCCATTGATTCACCTTCACCAGAAAGGACAAATCTCAAACAACCGCACTCCCTATCTATTTCACATTAACCACACGCCAAAAAACCCACATATCATAAGTTGTCACCAACCACACGTTCACCTCAACCAGAATGGTTGTCAAGTCAGATCCAATTTATGGCACAAATCGAGCTGGGGCTACCATTAACGGGTATACAAGTAACACAATGTTTCTTTTGACACAAGGATTCGCTGTCATAATATGAGACCAAAGCCATTTGGGGGCCCTGCAACGCTCCGTTTGGATCCAAATCAATTCCTATTGCCTAACCCCACCCTAACAGCCTAACCCCACATCCACCTTCACTGTAGCTAAACAGTATCAGCCCCCCTCCCCCCTACCAGCAACCCCTCCCATCCCCCGGCCCAACGGAGCACCATAGGGCCCTGAATGGCCCTCAATGTCATAATATGCAGATCAATATATGATATGATTCATCAAAAATATTCTTCAGGTACACAGTACTACGCGTTAAACTAGATATTAGAATTCATCCAAAGCACAAAAGTGAAGAAAACAATTTGGCCAAATTAGCACATAACAAGTTGTCCCAATCCCTAAATAGTTCACAATCATAAACTTACCAGGGATAGATATATCAGCAACTTCGTCCAAGACCTTGCAGACAGAGGTGGCTGTTCCCTCTTCACAGAGGGCATCGTATGCAGCAAAAAATGATGTCACTGACTTCCTTCAAATAGAAAAAACAAAAGATCCATTTATTCACAAAAAACTAGTTCCCATTACATTATTCAAGTGAATACAGTTTTGGAAGTGGGTGGACAAAAATCAACCGCTAATTTAGATCATAATGCTCACGTACAGTGCAATAAGATGAGAGATAGTGCTTTTTCATGTAATTCCAATTTAAAGCATTCATCTAGATTTAAATATTGTCACTCAATAAACAACTTTTAGAAAAGTACCAGAAGTTAGTCATTTCCAAACATATCAAATATAAAACTTGCCTTTCAAAATAAATTGCCGAGCTAATAAGCTATATAAATAAACACTAAGTTAAAACATTAAATAAGAGAAGTAAAAAAGGACTGCATCCAAGTACTGGAGCAAGATATCACAATCAGAAAAATGCTCTCTCTCTCCCAAAATAAACCACAAATGGTCCTTTTTCATCTGTCCCAAAATTATCATTAATTTCCTTTTAAGGAAAACCATTCGTGGTTCAAATTATTTCTCTCTTTTAAATAACTCTTAACCCACAGTTCCATTTTCCCAAACTCCGTGTTAGGTCAAACCAGGCACTGATATAGGGACGGAGTAATGAGATCTCATTGTTTCATCCAAATATCCGTGGGAGTAAAAAGAAAATGAAATTAGATCATATTGGAAAATCTGAAACCCATTGTTAGTCAATGACCTTGTTGAGAATAACCACACATGATTTGTTGGTAGACGCCACTTTCTGCAAAAAGCAATTATATCTGGAGTTGAATAAAACTTTGGTTTTCCACTCCCCAATTCTGTTACTGCTGTAACAACCACTGCTCAAAGCAAGTATAAAAAAAATATCAGAACACGCAGCATTGCAACATACGAAAAAAGTAAGAAACATGATGAGTCCAATCATCCTTCTGCATAGATGATCACACTAAAATCTAATGGCTGCACTATGTGGACTAAAAAAAAATAGGAATCAAAGTCAATATCTGCCTATCTGGTATCCATATTTCAGTACAGGTACAACTTTTTGTGGTTAATCTCTTCAAAGAAAGAACAAAGACAATGAATATTTAAAAACCACAAACATCAAGACCGATTCAGGAACGAAAAGGTCAGAGGAGGTGATGCATAAGGCATTATTACATTACAGAGTTATGCTTGAATCCTTCAGTTCCAGGAATTCTTCCCCGAAGTGAAAAAACAATTTCTCAAGTTTTGTAATCATTGACATCTTCAATTACTAGATCAAGGGTTAGATTTCTTCTTCAAGAGATCTTGCAAAAAAGTCTGTTTATTGAAGAGCGGAAGTAGAACAGTTGTTGGAATTAAACCAACATCATCAATTCATTAGCCAGTTGAATGAAGCATACTCTGTATATAGTTTTCCTCCCTTACCATAATCTTCTCGTGGGCGTTGCCCATGATCGCCCAATACAGCAGTGACTAGCTCCATGGATACACACATGTGGTTATCCTGAAAAGGCAGAGCTGACCAGAATAAGAAAGTCCTATATTCATGCGAGTGGTATCTTGATACTTGATAGCACAGAATGCAACACAAAATAAATAAACATGTTATAACATAACAATGTCACAATAAACCTAGAGATGTAAAGTGAGCTGGTATATGAAGATAAATATATGCAATTTTAAGTTTAACTCATTACTATCTCATGATATTTTCAATGCATGTGGAAATGACCGATGATAATGACAATTTTAGAATTTTCATCTCAATAGTCCTGAAGTTGCAAAAGGCAGGGCATCTGGCATAAAACATTGCTAGTATGCTTTATTGCATGACTTTGTTCTTTTATTTAGTTTTATAATGTTAGCCAGCACTATGAATATAAAGCCATCATGTTTGAGATTAAAGTGCAGACTGTATGATGATCTGATCATATGAGGCAAAAGCAAATTTTCCAATGATTTACCTCAAGATATTTATTGAATTTTTTTTGCTTTCTACTTGCAAAAGGACCCCAAGCTTCTTTAAACATCCTCCCTAGAACAAAGACACCGACAGCAGTATAGCTGCACAAAACATACAAATGATACGATTGAATAAAAAAGTAGATACTTATGTATATAGGAGTTCAAAGGCAACAAAAAAATACAAGTCAAATACCAATATGAACATTGCATATGAGACTGTTTAAGACTGTTCCAAAATGTATGAAAAATTAAAAATGAGTGCATGCATGATGCATTAGGCATGGTTTGTAACTTTGACATCCTCAGCTTCCCATGAAAACATTATTAACTGTTTCATTTGCCATCATTCTATGAACATGCCCAATTGACAGTTGTACATAACTCTAACATTTCTCAAAGATATAAGAGTTCCAAACTAATTACTACCATCTTGCCAAATCCCTTTTCTATAATAAAAAATGATGCAACCAAGCAAACTAGACAGACAAAATAACATTGTAAATTTGTAATAATGCTATTCATTGGAGAATGAGATGTTTTATCATTACAAACTGCGCCAAGACGTGTGTCGATGTTGAATATTTCATAAATTGACAGTGTATTATCATGAGTCTAAACCAATGAGTGATTCAACTACAAAGCAGTAGCATTGGAAGATTGCATAGGCTAAAGAAAAATAACGTACAAGACGCAGTCAGTCAAACCTCCCCAGTGCAAGGGCAATGCATGCCAAATAAACATTTTTGTTTACATTTCTTACAGAAAGTGCATATACAATCAGATAGTAGAAATGATCATTGTTATGAACCTACATGTTACCGAAGCTATTTTTTGCATATGCTCCACCCTCGTTCCCAGCATACATAAAGAGAGATCCAGAATGTTTAAGAGATACCTGATTGGAATCGATTCCGAAAGTGGCATTAAATAAAATAAGAAATATCCAAAAGGTAATCACAAGCAAGACACCACACACGCACACACAAAGATGGAGCCTCTTCGTGATTCAGTATTCTTTAAGTAGGACAACAAGGCTAAAGAATACTATTCCAACATGCTTTAAAAGGAAACATGCCACTACAAAGACAGATCCCTACCTCCATTGTGGCCAAGCCTTTGGTTACCATCTCAATCATCCGCGCTCTAATCTGAAAAATTGCTACGATATAATCAACTGAACTCTCTTTTAACCTCATTCGAACAAAATTGAATAGTAAACTACCTCTTGATCAGACTTCTCATTTTCAAATTTAGGGTAGAATGTAGCTCGTATGTGAGCTTGTGCAAATGTGGACTTGTCTACCGTAAAATTTTCCAGCATATTGCCTCTAGAAGAAGCACTTTTTTTCTCATTTGATGGCTCGTTAGCCCCAGTAACATGGACTTCCACTGGGGATTGAGTGGCTGGAGCATTTCCAACTTCAAACGTTTCTGATCCACTTACAGTCCCATAAGATTTTGGCTTCCACACAGCCTTTTGGTTTTGAGCTGGTACCTTATTCGTCGATCCAACACTAGAACTTGGCTTGTGTTGCCACCTTTGTTCCCTAGAGCCACCCTTTCTCTGCATTGAAAAAACACAATCCAAATAAATCACCACCCTTTCCACATCCCATACTGACGGCGCCAGAGAATATATGATCGCACAAACCCGCCAAATAAACACACAAAAACTAAAGGTACAGATTATGTGTCAATTAAGGTAAATATTAAATGCCTGTGTCAATTCAATTCCATTCCATTCAAAATCAGTACTAGTACACCATTCATATCACATCACATCATCGGCTTCTGGATTAGAACACACATGCACACGCATGAACGTACCTGCTTGTGCGACATCGATGGACAGAATAGTGAGCCGGAGAAAGTGAGAAAGCGAGAGTGGACGAAGATGGAGGTTCTAGACGGAGCGGACGGCGGAGGAGGACAGCGAGAGCAGAGTGATCCGGCGAGACCGAAGATGAACCTTTGGGACGCCAGCATTCATAAAAGGGAATGAGTTTTGGAAACATGTAGGAGGCGTAAATGAACGGGTAGGGATGGCCAAAAAACAAAGCCCATTATTTTCTATCAAATTCAAAAATGAATTTTCAAATGATTTTAATAAATTATATCTTGAATTGAATCGAATTGCTTTCAAAATTGTATTAGATGAATTCCCAAAAAATAAAAAACGAAAATATCAAACTTTACGGTTACTATACCACTGAAATGTAAACCTAATCAAATAATTATACATTTTCAATTGTTTTGTTCGGCAATTTTAAGTCATATTTATTTTGTGTATGATTTTAACATATTTGAACTTAGTTTTAATGATCATAAATAAGAGTTAAATTATCAAAAAAGACCCAAATAAGAGTTCTATTTATTTTTACACTTTTATGACAAGATTACCCATCTCAGGTATATAACGGGAGCCATCAACTACATAAATACTTCACTGACTTTGTTTCCTAGATTTGAAACTAAAGGAGAAGAATCAGCTCACCGACAAACTCCGCTCCACTACCGTCAACACAACCCGACCCCCTTTCATTTCCTGCGAACATTTTTACCTTGGTCTATAGCGTCAGAATGACTTTGAAAAGGAAGCAAGAAGGAGATTTCGAGATGGATTAGTCGACGACGAGTGATTATCTATCTGTTGACAATTCTCTGTGAGATATTGTCCTAGATGTCCGTACTTATGTGAATAATTGAAGCGAGTCAGGCCATCAATGTCCACCTATTTCCAGTACACCGTCCATTTTCTCTGTTACAATTCCGTTCTCCTCCTTAATTTCGTATGGATCAATGGCTCAATTTGTGCGATTTTTTTTAAGGGTTGTGCGACTTAGCGGAGAGTTGATTTCTAAAATAATCATGCACTGGTTCGTTCATATTTTGAAAATTCAAGGTGATTGAGGCTCATCAATGGTGATGATGTTCTAACAATGTCTAAATGTATAACAAACCAAGATCTCTAGAACTCGATTTTGCTGTGACAGTGTAAGTGTGGTGATGGAGGTGATAGTGTGGTTGAGAAAGTGGCAAAGTAGCGGTGATGAAATAGTGGTAGTGTGACAACAGAGTTAACAGTGTGGAAATAAACTTAGCGATGTGGTGGCAAAGGGTGGCAGCGCTCGTGGTGATAGTGTGGCAGCGGTGGTGGGAAGTGTGGCAGCGAAGGAGGGACAGTGTGGTGCCAAAAGATTGAAACAGTGTGTTAGGGTAAATTCACATTTTTTTTATTAAAAAATAACTCTCATTTATGCCTTAAAGACGTAAGACTCCTATTTATGTCTTTTACGATCTATTTACTCCGTAAATTATATTATACAACCGGCTTTACACAAAGTTGGGTGTAGTCAGTAAAACGAAATGGCAATTTTGCTATTGCAAGTGGCAGTGCACCAGATCGAGGAAGGAGCAGCGCAGATCGCGAGGGGCAGCGCACCAGATCGACGAAGGGCGGTGCAGATCGCGAGGGGCAGCGCACCAGATCGACGAAGGTCGCCAAGAGCAACGAAAATGATGGTGATGGTGGGGAGATTGATGGTATACCAGATCGACAAAGGTGAAACTCTAGGTGGCGAAAATAACAAAAGTACGTTAAGCACATACGATCCAAACTTTGGTAAATTGACACCCCAGACAAGATATGCTTCTTTAGACATATTTGAAACTATTGTGGGTGATTTGGTCGATTTTGGACACGTTTGATGTGGAGGTCTCAAGGCATAGGATGGTCTCAATACAAAATTTTAACAAAAGTACGTTAAGCACATATGATCCAAATTTTGGTGAATTGACACCCCGGACAAGGTATGACTCTTAGACATATTTGAAACTATTGTGGGTGATTTGATCAATTTTGCACACGTTTGATGTGGAGGTCTCAATACAATATCTTAACAAAAGTACGTTAAGCACATATAGTCCAAACTTTGGTTAATTGACACCCCAGACAATGTATGACTTTATAAACACATTTGGAACTATTGTGGGTGATTTAATCGATTTTGGACACGTTTGATGTGGAGACTAGGTGGCGACTATACAAATGGGGGAAGTCGCGGATGTAGAAACCATATGGTTGCTAGAAGATTTCAGCTTTTCAGCGACGAAGATGAATAAATACTACTTTAAGCTCTTAGCAAACATGGAACGAAGTAATGAATAATACTTTATTTGGGAATGAATACCACTTTGCTTTTAGAATAAACATTATGTTATTAGTAAATTGATATTATAATTATATTGAACAAATAGGTAAAAATAAGTAATTACGGAGTACATTTTTTCAGAATTAATCCTATGTTATTTTACTCTCTTTTTTTACAAAACCCCTTCGTCCTCTTTTCTGGCGAGGGCGCAGAGACCCATTGCTCGATCTGCTGAGTTGCTTCGCGACCCCCGCGAGGCCGGGAATTACGCCGGTAGTGCCCAATCCTATACACCGGAATCCGACCACATCACCGCTGCTCAAGGAATAGAAGGCCGCCGTTCGAGCTTCCAAATTCCGCCGCCACAGCCGAAGCACAGATCCGCCGCGAATTCCAACCAAGGATGAAGTCGAAGCGACACCCACCATTCAGCACAGTGGGGCAGCGCTCCATTCCATCTGCTTTCCTCTCAACCTCTTCGATCCGTTCAGGGAAAGATGCAGAAATCAAAGCTCCCGGCGAGAAGAAGCGCCCAAATATCTCTCTTTCCGACTACCTGAACAAAAAATTGCACCGGAGCTCCGTTTCACCTTTACCTGGTTCAGTCAAGACGAGGGACAAGCAATTCATGGCGCCAGATGAAGTTCATTCAGGTAAAGAAAAGGGGAATGAAAGAGAGAAGGATATGGATGAGCGTTGTTTTGTTGGTGCTATGTTTGAGAAGCTTAAACAATGGGGGAAAACCAGTGATGGTGCTGGGGAAGATGTGATTCCTTCTTGCACAGAAACATCAAATAAAAGAGGAAGAAGTGTGTTTGAAGGTGATGATGATTGCAAGCAAAAGCCTGCTGGAAAGAAACTGGTAGTCCTTGGAGAGGGTTCAAAGAGTAAGCAGAAAAGAATTGGAGATTGGAAAGCCAAGAAATCAGCAACTTACTTCAATCACTATGCAAGTGGGGGAGGGTGGTGGGATTGTGAGAAGGAAGGTGTGGACAATGAAGAAGTTGGATGCAATGGAACATGGGAAGTCTACCACATTCCTCATTAGTGTGTGGACGGATTCTTCTAATAAGTGTCGCGCTTCTAGTCCCCGAAATGTCCTTTATATTGTGTTTGGAAAATTGTGTCTCATTTGAATTCTTAGATTTCGAATGTAAAATGTAAATGCTTGAATTTCAAATTACAATTAGAAGTGTGTGGATTTGGAATTGAACAGTGTTGGGTATTAGAGGAGTTTGGCCCAAATTTAAATCTATTTGTGTTGGGTTTTCAAACATGTAATTCGAGTCAAATTTGGATTTTGGATTTGAAAGCTAAATCCAAGTTTCCAATTAGCCATTATAAGCTTTAGAAAAGTTGGTGGTTTTAAGTTTTCAATCTCAGTGCAACACTGCAACTTAGGTGATAGATTTATTGTAAAGCAAAAAGTATTTGGTCATTAAAAAAAATGTGTTGCTGCCTTACAATGGGTAAATATATAGTACGCATTACGAAGTACTTAAAGTTTCTAAAATCAATGATATTTGGGGCATGGAGTGAACTTCTCTGGCATGACTTTCTTGTTAAAAGAGTGGGAAAGAAGGAGCTTTAGGGGAAAAAGTTCATACATGTTTAGTGAGTGCTATCTTTAAATAAATAAAGATGGTACATTAAAACACAAATACACAATCTAACTTGCAAATTCTAAGCATTGTACCTCACCATGTACATTAAAATTAAAACGCGCCAAACCAAATGATTCCTACGGGTTACATCATTAATGAAACAACTCGAGAACGATAGTTGATCAATCCTACTATTAGTCAATGTGGATAGGAAAAAAGATCAATGAACTTAGAATTATCATTCAATTAAAAGAGACACTAGTCATTGTATTAAGGGGTGACATTACCAATTGAGGGGCATGACAACAATCACAACATCACTACCCTCAGAAACCATGATTGAAACAAGACCATTGGCCCTCAATGATCTCCTGTAATTAGAGCAAGTATAGGATAATATACATACATGTAGTAATTGTTTTGTATTCTTGCATTCTACACATATCCCGCTCTTAGAACCTAATCATCCACAAAGTTCCGGAACGAAGATGCAACAGAGGAGGATCTGTAAATCTGTTGGTTCGGTATAAGCAAAACCTGTAAAGTAATTGTACCTGAAATGTCATACTGGATCAGAATCGACAACTTTTTCATCTGTGGTTATGTCTCCAAGACCTACTACCTCCCCAGTCTCTTCGTCATCATCTTTGACAGGAGGAGTTTCTTCATCTTGGATGGGGGTTTGGACTTGGACAACTTCTGGGATGATAGGGCCTTGAGGGTCTCCGAAAACGGTACTAAATACCTGTTTGTGGCACTCGTCGCAGAAGTAGAAATAAGTGAAATGGCCTTCGTAGAGGATTGAATGCACCATTGCATCGGGCAGAACTCGGCGCAAATATTGACTTGCTGATGGAGGCACCACCATGTCTTCCATTCCCTAGCCACACGTTGGAAAGTAAAGAAGATGGAAGATAATGATGAAAGGTGTCAATTGTCAAAGAAACGGTACAATTAAAGATTAGTACAGTAGAACATAACTAGCATTGTTTTGAAAATCCACATTTCACAATTTCACTCCAATTGGCCCTGACCTAGTCATTATGCTAAGCCTTTCAAAACCTGTGTTATTTGACTTATTTCCGGATTCGGCACGCATAATTCCATTCAGCTCTTCACTAGTCTAGCTCAGGTGCTATACTCTAGCATGCCGCTTTCCTAATTAACATTTGTTACAACATATCTAACATTCTAACTAGTGTGTATACACATCACATGAGCAGAGCGAAGGAATATTGCTATTGTAAATGAAATTTATCAAGAGGAGAAGACCCATTTATTGTGAATGTGCACCAAGCATCAGCAAATTTTTGGATGTCAGTCTAAGTATAATAAAGAGCTACTGAAAATGTTTGGCAATTAGGGGATAGTGGATTGTATTATCAGACTGCACATAGGCGAGACATGTAAAATGAACTAGTACATATTATCAGACTGCACATCGGTTAAAGAGCTAATTTGTTTTTTAAAATTGTATAATCATGTACACTTTTGTTCTGCAAGTATTTAAGTTTGAAATCGACTACTACAAATTATTATTGTCGTTTCGGGTTTGTTTTTGTAATAGCAGTAATTAGTCACAGTCGTTTGCTGTTATTACTATGCTTACTATTATTACTCACTATTAGCTATTATGTTTATTATTTATATTTCTAAATTATATGACTGGTAGTTAATAACAAGTTTATACTGAGTATTAAAATCTTAATTCAAATGAGCATACAATTGAACTTGAATAGAACAAGGTACTCCGCAAAACATTAAGTTCTATGTTGTTTAGGGAGGCTAAAATGTGTTTTAGAAATAAAAGTGGAATCCAAAAAACAAAAAAGGTACTCCAGAGGGCAGATACTGCTTTTAAATTTCTGTCAACTCTAAGCAAATTCATCACCTACCTAATGAACATTTAGAAGGTTAGCCAAGTCAAACCACCAAAGTTAGTCAAATCCACAACCAAACATTGCCTTAATCCATCATTTAGGTTTCACTATCCAAATATAGAATGTCTACTACACTAGCTGGCTAGCCAATTGCATCAAGTTCAGGTACAAACAGCTGGCACGTGTTTTGCTTGCACACCAGAGTTGAAGAAAACCCATACTCTTAATTTGGATTAACATCAAAGTGTTCACATGCAAGGCTGAGCTGAGTAAAACTCTAAACCAAATAGCATATAGAGGGGATGCAGTAATTCTTTAAACTATAAGGGTAACACAACAAAGGCTATTATTTGATGAAATGTTTTTAAAGATAGGTTCAGAGTAAATTCACCTGCCATATATGTATTGGGCCAACAAATCCACTCAAACTTCCTTCAGTTTGACCATACAAAGATTTAATCCACTTAAGTATGCCTTTCCCCAGCTTCTTCCTCTTTACTTTGAGATCCACAAGTCTGAAGCCCCAGTCTGAAACCAGTAAAACAGCTTCCTCAACAAGGGGTCTTACATTCTTCTGTCGGATGGATTCTTCAACATCTCGTTGCCAGAATGTTTCAAACAATGGGCTCTCTGTCAAAGCTCTATCCTACAGAATTCATCATAGTGAGCAATAAATGTGCAGGAATAATTATGCTAGAATTAGATGTGTTTGCAAATCACAAGTATAAAAAACAGCATCATATATTAGTCACCCTTTATATCTTGTTCAAGTTTCTATAAAGGGTGACTAATATATGATGTGGTTTATATGACCTCTCTTTCCTCTGCATAAATTTTAACCACATTTTTCATTATCCAACACTTCTTTAAACTCTGTGAAAGTCAAAGCCCGAACTTAATATTGAGATGGAAGGAGTATAATATAAGAGTATTAGTTTTAAACTATAACAATAAGGACAACAACAAACCTAATACAGATGAAACTTCCAGAAAAAGTTTCATGCTCGGGAAAATTCAGGGATCACTTCCCAAGAAAATATTTTCCACCCATTGAAAGGAGCCCAGATGTAATAATCTAAAGAAGTAAATGATAATACATCACATGTAGCGGTAGTATAGCATATCCATAAAGTATCAGCTTACCCTTGTTCCAAGTGACAACGAGAGCCGTTCGTCTATGGGACCATGAAATCCAGACAAAAAGGTTCTACGATAGAACAAAGGAAGTAGACTGGGGAACCTGTGAGCTAGCATATACATAAACTTCTTCCACTTCGTCCATTTCTTCCACATGTTTTGTACCTCCAGCTTTGTCATGCTTGGTTCATACGGATTGATCATTGGAGCAACCATGAATGCACCTGCAAACTCAATCAGCAAAGAGACCAAACAAAGGGTAAATCAGGAGTTATTCCGCACATTCATTTCCTTGTGCAACAGAATGAAAGTAACATATTTTGAGTGGCAACATAACTCATGCAAGCCACCAGTACCATTAGCGGTTTCATTTGTGCATAGTTATCCACTCTCTTGAGGAAGAAAGAGACCCCAGTAATGTTTGCTATTTACCAGTGTCTTCAATGTTTATGATCTTAACAGAGAGTCTGTGTTTTTGACGGAAATTTAGTAAGTTAAAATGAACTTAACCGAAAGTTAGTTGTAGTTTTAACTGAAAAGTGCTAAACTGGATTGAGAATAAGTTGAAAAGAGCAAACTCATGGGAAATCACATCGACACTAGGGCTTTCATTTTCCGTGTCTGCGTTGGTGGTTCCATTTTGATGTATGAAGCAGCTATAGGGTTTTCATATTGAACACAGTGCAAAAGTGAAGATGAATAGTGCACTTGGCAGACTTATATTTGAGGAATAAGCGCCTTTCAAGAGTCCTTTTACTACTAAAAGAATAGTTTGAGAAGAAAATAGAAAATACACCGTTATAGCTGTAGTAAAAAAGCATTTCAGTGTTCATTTAAGAAAGTTGTGCCTTAAAAAACACTTAAAGCACTTATATACCATGAGTTATTCCAAACATGCTCTAATTACATACCAGCAACCCTATCAGGAATATATCGAAGTGCAGCCCAGGCATGCATACTTCCACTAGAGAATCCTACCACCCAAAATTTGTCAGTAATATTCACAGCATATGATAAGTGTAGCATATCCATTGCTGATGACTCGAGGTTCCTGTTGGGATGAGGATCACTTTCTCCGAATCCAGGAAGGTCATATGTCACCAAGCGAACACCAAATTCGTGCAGCAGTGAAACCTTGATGCCAGGTATTCCTATTTGGGAAGGAAACACGATTAACACTTATCTTATCAGTATAACATGTTCAATAAATGCATGAATAACTGAAGCAGTAGAGATATTAAAAAGTATATTTGATACCTGCAAGCCTGGATGAAAGAAAAGAATGTGCAGAGACCAAAGAAAATCTGGCTTGATTGGGCGGAACGCCTTGTTCCCGATATGCTAAATGTCTACCATCTGGAAGTAAAATTTGACTTGCACCAGGAGGATGTTTATTTACTTTCTTTACCGAAGTGGATCTAGTAACCGCATCATCACTTACCATCAATGCTGGTAACCATATACATGTACAAAAAATTAATTATGCATTAAAGGTGTTTCAGACTTTAACGAATTTGTTGATGTTCAAGAACAAGAAAATTATTTTACCAATAATTGCAATTCAGGAAACATCTTGAAGGTAGTGTATTATTACTTATTATGCATTCTGCTTCAGACCAAAGGTTGTTGTTGCTTAAGAGCGAAGGTTTTTAATACATGCTAATGCGGCAACTTCTTTTGAAAAATTTCACACTTTAAAGATGAAAGCTATTACTTTAACTGTGTCCATGAAAGCTATTGAAAAGATAAACTTGTTTTGTGCGTATGCAATTATGCATGATTCAAGTATATCTTACAAGTCGCTAGTAGATAGATATAGTCACAGATATGGTGAGAGGAGAAATCTAACTCAATGAACAACTAACTTCAATGTTTCCCATATACATACCTACTACTCCATTAGTACAGGCTCACATCTATTTAATCTAAACAATCCCATCTTATTCCTTCAACATCCAAGTTTCCCATAAAACTTTAATAACAGCTCGTTTGGTTATGGCAAAATTTGGAAGAAATGACAAAAATGAGTCAAATATGCTGAGATTGTAACTAGAATGGATGAAATAGATAAATGGAGTGAACCATCTAGAAATGTTCTGTAAAATAATTTTAAATACGGAGTAATAATAATAATGAAGGAAATGGTGTAAAATAAAATAAATGTGTTAAATATAAATTTAAGTTGATTTACCAACCAGCCAAATAGTAGTGCTTACCATTGGGCATTAGGTCGTAGTTTGAATATAATATAGCAGGGTGTCAAGTTCTCTATGCAATCTGAAATCGAGCATACATTCTACAAGTTCTACTAAATTGGTGACACAACTAAACTAAAGTTAAATTGGTGATTAGGGTAGAGAAAAGTTAGATTCAATTGTAATTTGTAGCATTATCATTTATCAACCAAAAGCAATCCAATGCACCCAATTCAAGATTGTCAGAAATCTATAAACCAGAAGAAAAGTTTATCTACTTCTCAAGAAATAAATGGACCATCATATGCAATCAATGAAGCTAGTCTATATAAACTAGCTGAAGAAATGGATTGTGTTAATGAAGTAATTAATGATCGGCATATTTGAGGAAATATCACTGATACAAGAAAGTGTAGTTAAATAAACAGTTAAGAGGACTTTAAATTTGAGAGATACCTGCAGAAGCAATTATTGCGACGAAGAAAATCACACTCCATGAATGAACTGGATCCCGATCCTCTGGCAAATATTCGTTCAGAAATCTCAATTTCCTGGAAATTTTCTGGCACGCCCCTCTCAGCTTCTTCCCAATCATGGAGTCCTCAGACACCACCGTCTGCATCACCACATCCTTCACCCCCTTCCCGAACTCCACACTCATCTCGGCGAAACCCTTGGCGAACTCCACCGCGTGGAATCTCAAATGCTCCCCGCCAGTTTTCCTAGGCACCGCCGCTTCCCTCACACCTCCCCCGCCCATCCCGGCCGCGGCCGAGTAAATCGGTTTGTACCGCCCTCCGGCATCGCCAGCTTCACCGGAGAAACCCTCTCCCCACGCCGTACTCGACTCGTTAGCCTGAGACATATTTCGCGGAATTCGAATCCAAAGTGCTTCAATGGCGTGAGTCTCACTCTCACAGTCTCACGCAACCCTCACATCAGTCATCATACATTGCGTAAGAAATATATGTTCATATCTATATATAGATTGAAGGTGAGTTGAAGATTATTGATCTATGGAGACGCCATTGACGAACGACATTTTCTGCTTTTTAATTAGCTCCGTATATATTCTGCTGCCATTGATGGAGACTGAGAGTTGAAAGAAATAAAGATAAAGGACTAATGCGAGAATATGTAAAGTGTAGGGGGGTGTTTGGGGAAATTCGGTCACGTAGGCAGAGCGGGGGTGGCAGCGGTCGGCGGTTTTTGGCCAGTGGTGGGCCCTGATGAGGTCGTGAAGCTTCTGAGGTTTTACCGGTTATTGCAGACCCAGGTTTATCTCGCTCTCACAGTGGTGGACCCCAACACTTATTGAGTGTTTGTTCTCATTAACAAATTTTAAAGGAAAAGGCTAAGGATACACCAAAAATGTACCCCAAACATTCCCACTCCTTCCATCACCACAAAACAAAGGCAAGAAATTTTCAAAAATATTTAAAAATAAAAACAAAATAAAATGAATGTTTAGTAGGAGGGTGGTGTACATTTGGGGTACACCTTTTGGTGTACCCCTAACATTTTCCTTTTTTTATTAATAGACAACCTTTACCCTACGAAATGTACAATCGACTGTACTATCTTTGGGTACAGCCGGTTGTAAATCGACAAAGGAGCAGTGGACCGTGAATGCATGTGAATGGAGTAGTGATTGGACTGTGATTGACTCGGCTACGTCTATTGAGGATGAAGTTGTGCGTAGAAGAGGTATATCATTTCGCGACTGATAGATTATATAAAAATTTGATCATATGATTGGTATTTAATCTTTAATGTCTGTTATTGTAGCCATAACATTTCTTTCTAAATATTTTAAAATGGGAGGGGTTTCAGTGCCACTGGAATCCGGTATCACTAGCATAATAGCCACACATTTTGT